CCCAAAAACATATCTAGTGGTGTATAATTCGTTACAAATGGCCAGTTCGACCTGGTATCCTTCCTTTGTGAGACAGTTCAGAGATTGGGTAGAAAGTGGGGAGAAGTTGGCTAGGAAGAAAAAGATAGTAGATGCATGCAAAGAAATGGGCGGAGTTTACCACGAAATAGTTGCTTTTAGTGTGTGGCACTGAGATGGGCGGGGTTTGCCACGAAGCATTAATATTAACGGCCCAATGATTTGGCTTGTTGAAGAGGTAGGGGGAGGTAAACGCAGGGACCTGGGCGAAAGCGCGCAAAGCAATATTCTAATCAGCAAAGGATTGAAGGGCAGGGTTTTGCTTTAGAGAACCTAAAGTGTGAGAAAACAATAGCCTCAAGAAGGTGTCGATCGCTTTTTTGTTTTCAAACTCTTCACACGGTGATGCTCTCTTGAGCAAGTCCTCCAAAGGAGCATGAGCCATCACAAAAATGAACCTAAAGGCATGCCCCAGGATCGAATTGGTGTGGTTCTTGCACACGAATGCGAATGTATTGGTGCGAAATGGGCCGGCAGTAAAGAAAAAAGGAAAAGAATCCGTCGAAAACGCTTCAGGTTGGGCTCACTCACCTTCCTAATCGGCTGTGCTAAGGGAATGAGAGACTAAGCGCGGAGAGGAGAGTATGAGGCGAGAGAGCGCAACAGATGAGAGAGCGCCAGACAACCTGATAAAAGAAAAAAATCTGCAGCTCAGCAGCTTACTTTGCAAGGCCCTAGCGCTCTTGTCGGTTGGTTTCCGTGCACGGGAACGCCACATCTGATTGTCCTCTAGGGGTCTATACTACAGACCGAAGGGAAGCGTTCACACGACCTCTGCCTGGGTTGTGCCTTTGAATACATGTGCATATTACTCCCAGGCGGATACGTCGCACATTTCGATGCTGATATTGTTAGCGCCATATGCTTTGACTTCAGTTTATCAATGGTATTCCACTATTTTTTGAGAAACCTATGTATTCAGACAGAATTGAAGTGTTAGAAGGTGCACTTAAATGGAGGGATGAACTCTAGAGGTAAAGCAAATTCTGACATAAAAATTGTAACTCTTAATCATTCACGAGGAGCTCATTGCTGATTGTGAGCTGAACTCTCGTACTTTTCCAAGAAACTCACTAACCAATGTTCAAGAAAGCTGTGACCATAATCCCGAAACGTGTGTTTTCGAGTAATTGCGCACCTCCTCCCCCCACAAAGTAACGAACGGGTCAGTTTTTGAAAGAGAGAATAAGGCAGGTTACAACTTAAGAAATTATGAGCTTCGATAAACAAATATGCGCAATCCCTAAACTTCATTTGTGTCCTATAACTGGGGCATATCTCACCAAGCAGAATGGTCTCAGTAACATTAGGGAAGCAGAAACCTCGTAGATTCCGTGTATAATTGGACTTGAAAAAAATCCATATTTTCGTAATACAAAATTCATACTTTATGGACGATATGCTCGTTCAAAGTGGAAGTGAATCTATTAGTAAACGCCTGCCAAAATGCTCATTAGGCAAAGTAGAACGTGTTCGTGACATTTTTTCTCGTATTCATCGTTCCTTCAGTTCTCCGGTAACGCCGCCTAAAGCTGATAGCACTAGCAATTTTTTATTTTGCAGAATAGCCCCGATCCTTTCACAAGAGCTCAAAAATTGCGCCAAATAACTACACGCCTAATTAGAAAAGCTCGTCATCGCCAAGTTTTTGTTGCGCGCTGTGGCCCTGGGGTGTTAGCAAGATTGGTTTTTGAGGTACTCGGCCCACAATCGTAATTTGCTTAACACGTGGGAAAGGAGGAAAGAAATGCAAGGGCAAGGGACAAAGAAGGGCAAGGAGTGTTCATTCATGATATTCATACTATTGCATTATTCCGAATTCTTTGCATTGGTCTTATTGCCCAATTCTGCATGACTTTCGGAAAGTATACCAAGCAGTTTTGTGAGCAGAGGATTCCAAATTACTTATTAATTTGGATCGAAACAAAATAGTTCCTTTTTAGGTCGTCGACGTCACGATGGAGTCGATTCCTGATAATGTGATCAAACTGCTCACTGACGACCCTCATTCGAAGCACGCTGTGCCATCGGACCTGTCATTGATTATGGATCCAGCTTTGATTGAAAGAATGTTTCCTTTCCAGAGAAAAGGCGTGGCGTGAGTTCTACATTTTGTTTTGATGCTCATTGTATCTCTCTATAAAAATAGCATCTTTAGGTTTGGTATCCAAAAAGGCGGACGTATTCTGCTTGGCAGATGAAATGGGTCTAGGGAAATCTGTGCAAGCTTTAACGTTGGCACGATACTACAAGTGAGTAGTAGACTTCATACTTATGAATCTAGTCCGAGAATTTCGTTGTTATCCTGTGGCTACCCATTCTTGAAGGGCTCACTATACATCACGCCAACGTATCTAGTAGTTCAAGCAACCACTCATTCTTTGCAAGTAGGGCCCCGCCCACAATGGGTGTGGCGTGCATCGAAATCAGAAGGCAAATTACTGACGACAAAATTTCAAAATGGATTCCAAATAGGCCTCGAGATGGGAAAAAATGGGTAAAGGTGTGCATTGGTAAGCCACATCGAATTAGGGAGACCCACCCCCGGTGGGCGGGGCGTTCTCTAAAAAAGCAGTGCTTATGAAAAATTTCATAACTCGGTTGGGAGAAAGCCTACAGAGCAGAAAAAATTTGGTGTAGGGAGCAATGTCTAAGGTGTTTCCAGCATACATGACGTGGCGGAGGCCCGCCCACAATGGGCGGAGCGTGTCTGAAGTGGACAGCGTTTTCTACAAGTCCTCATAATTCGGCTCCGAGAAGTAGAGAGCGGGAAAAAGGTGGATAGAGGTCAGAAAAGGATAGGAGGGTAAGTTTAATGGTAGGCGTAGCGTGCACTACTGGGCGGAGTTCTGCCACGAAACTTCACAACTCTGTTCCAAGAAATTTCGGAGTCCGGGAAAAGTGGGTAGAGGTCAGCGAAGGAAGGGAGGTCAGCCGGTTTTGGAGGGTGAGTGTGCACCGGAGTGGGCGGAGCTTGCCACCGAGCATCAATATTTAGCCCCAACACGACTATAATAGCTAGCAGCGGAGAGAGGTGAAATGCTATCAGTGGATCGAAGTGAGTGGGGCGAAAATCCACTATTCATCTACCAGTTCCGCTCCGCACGCATCCGCTCGCACTGAGTTGTGGTGTGAGTGTAAATGATGGGAACGACCTGTAGACACTGCTCATGATTTGAGGCAGTTGGGCCAGAGCCAATTTTTCTGAATGCTCATGTGGGAAGTGGCGAGCGTTAATATGTGCCGAATTTAATTGTTTTTTTTTTGCATTTTCCTTTGTAAACTAATCGTAAGCAGATACGCAAAAGCATAGCTAACAGTCTCTTATATTCAGATCTGAATGGCCACTATTGATCATTTGCCCTTCTTCAGTCAAAAGTGCCTGGAAAATGGTTTGTTCTTTTCCAAAATTCTAGATTCCTTCAATTGTCAAACGATTTGATTCTTCTCTTTTTACAGCAAATCAATAAATTCCTTCCTGCCATCCAGAGAATCTCACTTGTAGAGAAAGGAAGTGATCCACTTCCCACAGCAAGGACTTCAAATACGGTAATGTCAGTGCTGCTTCATGACATGTTTTCGCTTCACTCCAGTTATCTCAAGTTTCTATTTATTACATATTTGGATCTGGCTGACTTCACTGATCATTTAGTCTTTCTGTATTGCTATTCCATTACAGTAACGTACTTGATTAAATTGTTCAGATTGCAATAATGAGCTATGATTTGATGGTTTTAAAGAAGAAGGAATTGGAAGAGATGAATTACTATGTTATCATTTTGAGTGATTTTCTCCTAAGCTACTGATACTCTTATTAGTGGCACTGGAGGTCCATCTATCCATTTTTTTCCAGGACGAATCTCATTTGTTGAAAGACAACAAGGCCAAGCGGACACAGGTGGCCCAATCGTTGGGCGGTTCGTACAAGATAGGTTTTTGGAGTCTAAATATTGAGGGGTGGTTTTGTCGATTGCAGAAGCGAGCGACACGAGTAATTCTCCTTTCGGGTACTCCAGCGCTATCTCGTCCGGCTGAACTGTATTCTCAAATAAGGCTCGTAAATGACCGTCTTTTCCCAAATTTCCAACATTTCGCTACTCGATATTGTGATGGAAAGCAAGGGCGCTTCGGTTTTGAGGTATTTGTGCTGTCGTTGCTTAACGTTCATATATATTAATGAGCTTGTCAGGCGAAGGGCTGTACTAACAGTGACGAATTGTCTGCTATCCTTCATAAGCGCGTGATGATCCGTCGCCTCAAAAATGACGTGCTCACCGACCTGCCTGATAAACGCAGAGAGGTATTGTATTTGCTTTGTCTCGCTTGCTGCACAGAACTATCGAGTAGAGTTTTCAGGTTGTCTATTTATCTGGCGATAAGATCGATGTGCGAATGGATAGTCTTCAAAAAGCGAGGAGGGCCTTCGAAATGAATAGCGGTGGACAAATGGTTTGTTACGTTCTCAATTTTGACATTTTGTATTGTATAGGGTCTTTGATATTCCGTCTTTGATGTGTTCGTATTCCGCCTTTTTTGAGAATAATTTTATGAACGGTTAAGGGAGATGCGAAAGGAGGAAACGGAGATCTGTTGGAGTATTTCAGTCTTACTGGTATCGTAAAGGTAAGCAGAGTTCCTTTGCTGCTTCAATTATTTTTTTCAGTCAAAGCCTAAAGAAAAAATCTGCACTGAAACTAGGTTTACAGGCAGGAGCTGTCTGCTCGCATATTCTCGATAATTATTTCTATCCGGATGCACCAAAGAAAAAACTGCTCATTTTCGGTCATCACCAAATTGTCTTGGATACGGTGCAAGTAGAAGTAAGTCCTAAGTCTACTTTCTCTGGGAGAGGAAAAAGGAGAATGCTTCATTGACACTGTAGGTCCAAAAGCGAAACTTAAAGTCGATCCGAATAGATGGAACTACGTCGTCTAAGGATCGTGGAAGATTATGCCAGGAGTTCCAGGTAGTATTATTTGTTTGAGATGGTCAATTCTTCCTTTCTTTCTTTCTCTACAAGTTATGAGTTGTTTACAGGAAGACCCAGACGTAGAGGTCGCCATCCTATCAATGACTGCAGCTGGAGTTGGAATAACTCTTACTGCTGCCTCTGTTGTTATATTTGCTGAATTGCATTGGAACCCCGGAACATTATTGCAGGTGAGATGACTGGAATTGATCCTTAAAGGCAACAGTCCAGGCAGGGTTCCGAGCATTAGTCGCTAATGGGGTGGGGAGAAGCACTGGTCCTAGTTAAACATATCTGAAAGGGAACTGAACATGAACTCACCTTTGGAAGCCTGTAGGAAGGGCGACGAACTACAGCAGATGGGCGGAGGCGGGACTGGGATGGGCGGGAGCGGGCATGGCCGCTGTCTCCCAGCCGTGATGATGGCTTGGCCAGGTGCGAAGACGTTGCGGGACCAGTTTTGAGCAATCAAGCCCCATCCTTGAATAGTTTTGGTTTCATTCTGCATTCTTTCACAGCCAAGATGTATCGATACTATCGCCCAGAACGGCGACCGCCTGCAGACTCGCTCACAGTTCTTTGCGTCGTATCTTTCTTCAAAAAGGATTAGGA